TAATTTGTGTATGGTCTTAGTTGTTGATTGTTATTTTTGCAGCCAGCGGCTATGTTGGCTTGCCACTACGGGTGCTTGCATACTCAGCACATACGCACCTATGTATGTACGAAGGCAAGTTCATAAAGAACAAAACAGTTGCAAGCATCCGTTTAGTGTTTTACACGTAAGCCTCATAAATAATTTACAAAAGTCTAGACATGAAGATATCAGCGCAATTAAAAGTTTTTTTACAAGCTCACTTCATCCTGTTGAGTGGATAATGAACTAAGTGAATAGTTTTATGAGAATGCTATTTGTAAAACTCTTATTTTTGATTAGAGTTAATCGATAGGTACATGAAAAGGTCAATGAATTGAGCAATAAATGCACATGAATCCTGAATGTCATGAGAGTTTTCCTGCTGGTTAAACAAATACTTTTGGGGGCTGTAGTATTACAGAAACTACACTTTTAATAGGAAGAAGAAAAAATTTGCATACAAAAATGTATTTTGATAAAAACGAAGTACCCCTTATTTTAATTCACATTTCTGCTCCTAAATATAAAAAACTACACAATCTGCATTATTCAGAGGAGGGTATCATTATATTCCACGTAAGTAACTTGGTTTCTTTTAAAAAAGGGCGTTGAACGCATTTATTCCTTTTTTGATTGTTTATAAAAATTAAAGAAATCATTTAATGAGAAAAATTTAATAGGTTTTAGCGTTTTAATTTTAAAGATAAAAACGTCTCTTTTGTTGAAAAATATGAAAAAACGAATTTGTGTATTAATTTTCTTATATAACAATCGTATTCGTGAATCGTAGATTAGGGATCTGTATTCCGTTTTTTCACATCAGGTATTTACCCAAGATTTTTCCATTTTTATGAAAAGAATAAAATTTAAACTTAAAAGTGTTCTTTGCAGCTCTCAAGAAAAACGACGAATTCATATAAAATGAAGCACAAGAAACATCCCTTAAATCGATTTGCAGCTCTCGAGAAAAAAATGCTTTTATATTTATGTATTTATTCAAAAAAATTTTTACGGCATAAGCAAAGTACTTTTTCAAACAAAAGAAATAATAAAAAATACTTCTTTAGATTTTTCTTGAGAGCTGGATTCCAAGCTCAACGAGGAAAAAATTAAAAAGATAACAAATCCCTATAATTTTTTTAAATTTGTTCTAAATCACATCGGGCCAATGTTCGATAAATCGAACAATGAAATTTACACTTGTTTGTTAATTTTTCTGGACTGTTTTTCCGAGTTAAGGGGTCAATGGGAATGCGATATTTTCTATATTATTATATATATCATCATTATATCATTTATAAAAGTCATAAATAAAAATCAGTCAGTGAATTTTATTTTAAAACTCATCAATATAAATCAGTCACCGACTTTTATTTTTTAAATCATACGTATAAAAGTTATTAAGATTTTTCGCAGTTAAGGAAATGTTGGGAAACAAAAGTTTACGACGACTTATACAAGTGACTTTTATAAGTATGATTTAAAAAATAAAGGTCAGTGACTGAGTTTTATTTCTGACTTTTATAAATAAAAATTTTCGATAACTTTTATCTAAGACATATAATTTAAAAATTAAACATAACTGTTACTTGCAGATTATTTAGATGAAAATCAAAAATAATTTTTATTTTGGATTTATAAAACGAATGTCAGAAATAATGGTTATTTAAGGATTAATTAAATAAAAGTCTAAAAAGAATTATTAAAGAGCGATTTTTTTAATAAAAGTTGTAACTGTTACGGTCCCTGGTTCGTCATAAAAAATTATAAAATAGCTTTTACATATTTTTTAATCAAATGTGCCCTTAAAAAATAGAAAGTCCTTTAATGAAGCTGCAACGAGACGCATATGTAAAATAAATGAAATAAAAATGCGGATATTTTGAAAACTAAAAATCGAAAAATTTTTTGATCACAAATTGGAATTTATTTAGTTAGCCAATTCGAAAAAAAAAATCGTCGGGCCGATACTAACGATGAAAACCTATGAATAAATAAATAAGTTTTGAATGGTAAGATGGAAATTTGCAGTAACTTTTTGTATAAACGCTATAGAAAAATTTCGATAACTCGTTACACTCTGTTAGCACGATAAAATTCGACAAGCAGTGATAACTCGATAAACTTAAATGACCCTGAAATTTCGATAAATCGATATATTTTGAAAATTCCATAAACTTCTATTCGATAGATCGTCTACACAATACACGATACAAGTCCACAAATAAAAATCGATGAAAGGTTCCTTTGACCAAACCTAGTCTGGTATATCATTTTGGGGTCGCTGAACACGAATCTGAAGTCCGTTTTGCTCCATCACGTCTGGATTTCTTCTAACCTCAAATAACATCAATCGATTTTTTTTTTGTGGACCTGTGTTATCAATAACTCTGTAAGTTGAAAGAACTCGATGCATTACAAAAACTCCATAAATCTTCCTTACATCTATAAATAATGATAAACAAATAAATATCGATAACTTAGTCAATTTATTTAGCTTTGCAAATTTCGATAATCCCATAAATTTTTATAGCTCGATAACTATCCGTAAATTTCGATTTCGGTGTCTATAAATTTCGAAAACTCAGTAAACATTGATCAATTTACATAATTCGAAACGTTGCGATAACTCAATAAGCATGGATAATTCGATAAATTTCGATAACTATTAACTTTGATTATTCGATAAATTTCGGTAACTTTTATGACTGAATTTATTGCGATTCCTATCGAAAAATTTCAATTAATTTTCTTAGGGCCTAATTCACAGGGCGTAGTTAACCACTGATAAGAGTTTAACTATTGGTTTTCATATTCACAACGCTCAGTTAACAAAAGTTTAGACCAGCATGCCCCCATAGTTAAACTCTTGTGGATTTATTTTTTTTTGTGGAATGAATTTCAAATTTGAATAGAAAAGTATTGATTTTAAGAATTTGTATATTTTCAGGCGATATGAATTACTATAGTTAACTATGTGACTCTGAATATAAATTCATAATTAAACTCTTGTTGGTGGTTAAGTTAACAATGGTTTAACTAAGCACTGTGAATTCGGCACTTACTCTTTCAGTTACCCTAATTCTTATGTATTTCTCATTGTCTCCATTTTCCTCTTTATATTCACTTTTGCCTTCTCTTTTTTATCTTCATCGTTATCATTTATTTCTTCATCTTCATATTTATCTTTATTTCAACGTTTAATTTTAGATATGAAGTAGAAGGTTGTAACAACAACCATACACAAACACGGAGATTTTTAAACGATTTTTGACCGTAATTTTCAATTTATCTTGAAACCATAAATATTCTCCTCATCCACAGAATATTACCTATTCAATGGTGTTCTTCGTTTAGGAATCGGTTCGGTAGAATTGCCAAACGAATGGATACGAAATTTATGTTAGCATTAAAATTTAGTTTAGTTTAGGATAAAAACCTATTTAAAAGGACATTTTCAATACCTATTCGTCCTTGTGAATTAAAAAGTTTAATGTTTTTCAATTCTTTAAATTTTTATCTTTATTGGATGTCCATACTGTTATTCTACATCGCTCTGAATTTTTTTCATAGACGGTAATACATATCATCATGTTAAAAAAAATATATACATCTCGTCAAAATTATTGATTCGAAATATATCGATATTAAGTACCGTCCTCTTTTCAGCTTTTCAGCTATCCCGCTGCTAGTTCTGAACCAGTCCAATTTGCTGTTGAATAGTTTCCAATTTTCACTTTCAGCTTATTTCCCATATAAATATGTGTGTACATATGCATCGCCAGCAGTTCAAAATTGAGTTAAAATGGCCGTAATTTACCACCACCGCAGATTCAGTGAATTACAAACAAAAGCAAAAAAAAAAAATACCAACTTTCATTTACAGAGCTCAATGCGAGCCTACCAAAAGCATTTGTATGAGAACATGCCAAAGTCAGACTCGGCACCAATAATATGTACTTAGAGAACCATAAGCAAAGGCCAAACCAGCAAGCTATTTGCATAGCACAAACAAAAGTGAGCAAATGCCTATTGTTTCAGGTGTGCGCTGCGCTGCGGTGAGGTGCGGTGCGTTGTGCTGCAGTTAAATTCCAATGCTGCGCTGCTCCAGTTCCTGACTGCCGTACCAATAAACGAACAGTTGCACATCAATTTCAACGCTAACGAATTGCATTCGAATGCCAGACATAGCAACATTTTCAGCATTGACCGAAAAACCGGTATGTATGTATTAACACACATGTGTTTGCACACAAATACATACCTACACTGCATACGTACATGTCTGTCTATCTGTTTACTTATGTACATACGTGCACCCACCAAGCAGTGCTTAAATATTTAGCAGCACAGTGATTGCTGAAGGTCGACGCTGAAATGTGAGTAGTTAACACCACCGCAACTGACGCCGCGCCGCGCTGTGGCCGTAACGCGCTTGCATGCACTTGCGTACGTACGTATGTATACAACATGCATGCGTCTGTATGTTGCAAGATTGGCACGCAAGCAGCCGCACATAATTACGCAATTGTTGTTGCAACCGCACAACAATGCCAAATGCCACACGCGGCTTTCTCCACACGGCACCGCGCCCAGCTCCGCTTATGGCAGTTTGCAACCACAACTCAGAACTGATAAAGCCGCTGCCAACACCCAACTCTCGACCGCCATACATTTACGAATGTGTAAAATCTGCAAAGCACAAATCGAATTCGGAATTAAATTCCACACCACCCAAAATCTCGCATACAAATTGAATGCGTTTTCTCAATAAAGCATGCACACGAATACAAACATACATGCATGCAAGCCTTCGTATACATATGCACGCCCACTCACATGCCACATTGCCAACGCACACACACACACAAACACAACCACATAACGATTAACTTTGTTATCCTTTCGGCAACAATGCATTTATTTCAATGAAAATACCATCAGTCGTCATTCCATTACAGTTGTGAATCTCAGCGCGCTTACAACGCCGCTGCTCGTTTACGTTGACGTCGCCTTGGCCATTTGCGTCGCCTAGGTTGCACTGCTGCTGTCGGAAGCGTCACAGTCATCAAAGCGTTTTTTCCCAAAGCCGCCAAACCGTCCACCCGCTGACGTCGGCGCCATTTCTGTCGTTGCTGATGAAGCCACCGCTGTTGCCATTGTCTGCGTTGAACGTACGGCGGTTGGGATTCGGTGTCGAAGTAGAAATCGCCATGTTTGCGGCGTTGGGAATGTATGCCGAAACGACCCCGATAGTTCTGCGCACAAAGACCCTGCTCAAAATTTTCATAGCTGCTGCAATGGTAGCCCACGAAGGGAAACGCCGGATTCATGGATTGCTTGAAAAACACAGCCGATGAGCTGTGGCTGCATGCAACCGCATCTGTGTGGATGAAAAGAAGGCAGAAGGAACAAGTGAAATGAATAATTAAGTATGTATGTAGATTGTCAACACATTCAATGCGTTGCATGCGGCATTTAAGTGATTGTAGTACAGCGTTTTTGTTGCACGCCTACATACACACGCACACGCAAATATGCACATCTGTACTTACTGTTCTGAAAACCCGAAAGTAATACTTGACAGTGGCGTTGCGGCGCTTTTCCACCATTCGGATAAAAGTCGGCATGTCCCGACTTTACGCTGGTACCCAAAGTGTCGCCTGATGTGTGCAACACTTGTACAAATTCTGCGTCGCTTGGATCCAGTCGAAAATCCGTTGATACTACAGCTGGCAGCGTGAAGAGCG